CCCCAATTTTGGCCCCAAAAAGGGAAATTTGTCCCCCCCAAAACCCAGGGAATTCGCGGTTTTTTTATGAATACCAAAAAATAATTTTGGGAAACACCCAAAAAAACTTTTGGGGGAAGGGGCTGGAGAATTGGGGGGGTTCGGGAAAACCCAGGGGGAAAGCCAATCAAAAAGGGGGAAAGGGGGCTTTTAGGTGCTCCAAAGCCTTTCTTTTTTTGGGGGGGGGGGGGGGGGTTTTCCCCGGAAAAAAATTTTTTTTTTGGAAAAAGGGTCGCGGGTTAAACGCGAAAAAAAGGATGGGGTGGGGGGATTCTTGGCCCCGGCCCGGTGGAAAAAATTAACCCCGCCCAATAGCGGCAGAAAAGTGGGAAGGAAGGTTTGGCCTTGGGTGTTGGGGGTTGGGGGAAAAATGTTCCTTTTTTTGGGGGGGGGGGGGTAAAGGTTTTAACCGTTGGGGCATGAAATAAAGGGGGGTCCCCCCCCCCCCCCCCCCTCCCCCCCTCCCCTCGGTGTTTGCCATCGGGATTGGGTTTTCGTCGCTTGGCAACGACGTTGTAAAACAAGCCAATTCACTTCGTGAACTCGGCAACCAGGTTACCGTTTTTTTTTTTACCTCGTTTGATTTTTGGCGGTAACCATAATGGTGGTCGAGTAGATCATGTTGTGCGGGGTGGAGAACCCTCACTCCGCGCAACGGGGGATGATCGCACCACGTTGTGTTAAAATGGTCAAGCATCCTCGAGGCAGTTACACAGTGCTTACAACTGTCTCTGGAAGTGAAAGCACCAGAAAATAAATTAAGTCATACGCAGCTGTCATCCGTACGCAAGGAAGTAAGCACAAGATGCCGAACACCCTTAGCAGGATGCAGCTCACCCTTCGTGCGACTCGCCAAATATCTCACGGCGCTTCGCGCTTGGTGATGTGAGAGCCTGGTCCGGTGAGAACCCGGCGTGCTCCGTCCCGGCTTTGTAGGGATGCGAGGTCAATGGTCTAACGACTACGGCATGCACGACTAGGAGTCCCCCCCCCCCCCCCCCTCCCCCCGTCGCTAGCACAAATACGCGGCGCACCTTTCCGTCTCGAGGCGATATCGCATGTGCAGCGCAGAATAGGCGTTGACGTCGGGCCAGATGTCGATGTCCGTCATGAGGAAGTGGGACGTCTTGACCGCCTTCACCGCCACGTTCCGGAGTCGGTTGACCGGGTACCACACCGGGTCCAGTTCCTCCGGGCTCTGCGCCGCGGTCGCGCTGATCACCATGCGGTTGCACAGTTCCAGCGGTAACGCCTGAGACGGTTTTTTGTTGTTGTTGAAGGGGGTTGAATGAGGAACGGAGGGCTTTTTCTGCGGGTGCACAGCTCCAGGGGTAACGCCTGAGACGAGTTTTGGCTAGGGTGTTGCAATAAGAACGGAGGGCTTTTCTGTGTTTCCACAGCTCTAGCTAGTAAAGCCTGAGACAAGTTCAGGTAAAGGATGTGTGAGGAACGGGAGGCGTTTTTCTGCGGTTGCGCCGCTCCAGCGGCTACCCCTGAGACGAGGTTTTCGGTTAAAGTCTGTCGTGCGTGTGTGGAACGGGAGGCTTTAATTCTGTTTTTTGATGCCTGCTCCAGAGGTTACGACCATGAGCGGGAAACAAGCGCGAGGTCTGTCTGCCTGGCTGCCGGGGAGGCTAACGATTGAGGCTAAACAAACACTTGCGAACGGTTTTCTGGGCACTGTCGATGACTTTTCAGCGACCGCTCCGCCATCGTTGCTCCGTCTGTTTGTCTGGCGCGTCTGTCTCTCTCTTGTGTATTTCAGTAACTAACATCGACGACCAACGGAAACACATTTAAAATCTGTTATGTGTGTTCCAGGAATTAGCAACGACAACTGCGCTAACAGACTTGAACCAATGAGATGACACCCCCACTCCTACGTGTGTGCATCTTCCACTAACTAAACAGCACAACACCTGGGGGGGGGGGGGGGGGGGGGGGGGGAAAAATTTTTTTTTTTTTTTTTTCCCCCCCCCCCCCCCCCCCCCCCCCCCTTTTTTTTTTTTCCAAAAACCCAAAAAAATTCCCCCCCCCCCCCCCTTTTCCCAAAAACCCCCCCCCCCAAAACCTTTTTTTCCCCCCCTTAGGGCAAAGAAAAAAAAGGGGGTTCCCCCAAAAAACCCCTTTTCCCCCCGGAAAACCAAAAAGGTAACCGGGGAAACCCCGGGCTTTTTTTCTTTTTTTCCCCCCGTTCCCCCAAAAAACGTCCCCCCCCCCTTTTTTTCCCCCCGGTAAAAAAAAAACCCCCTTTTTTTTTCCCCCTTTTAAAAAACCCCCCCGGGCCCCCCCCCCCCCCAATTTTGAAAATTTTTTCCGGGACCCCTTTTTTTAAAAACTCGGGATTAAAAAAGCCCTTTTTTTTAAAATTTTTTAAAGGGTTTTTTTTTTCCCCCCCTCCCCCTTTTTTTTTAAAACCCCCCCCTGGTTGCCCCCCCCCCCCCCCCCCCCTTTTCCCCCCGGAAAAAAATTTTTTTTTTTTTTCCCCAAAACCCCCTCCCCCCCCCCTTCCCCCAGAACCCCCCCCAAAAAAGCCCCCCCCCCCCCCCG